TAGCATAGTGCCTAAGGCACTTGACTGCTAACCAGAAGGCTGGTGGTTCAAACCCACCAGCCACTCCTTGGAAGGAAGGTTGGACAATCTACTTCTGCAGTGATATTGCCTCAAAAACCAAGAAGGGGTCGCTATGACTCGGGGCTGACTCAACAGCACATAACAACAACAATTTTATATGGAAAGGAAAGAGAATTTGGATAAGCAAAGCACTGCTGAAAAACAAAGTAAGAGGCCTTACACTCCCAGATCTCAAAACCTACTATATAGTGACAGTTGTCAAAACAGGCTGGCATTGGTACAATGACAGATACATACCAGTGGAACAGAAATGAGAACCCAGAAATAGATCCATCGACCTATGGTCAGCTGATCTTTGATAAAGGGCTGAAAACCATTAAATGGGGAAGAGAATGTTTGTTTAATAAATGGTGCTGGCAAAACTGGATATCCATTTGCAGAAAAATGAAACAAAATATGTACCTCACACCATACATAATAACAAACTCCAGATGTATCAAAGACTTAAATGTGAAACCTAAAACTATAAAGTTCCTCAAGGAAAAACCAGGAGCAAACTTAGGTGCCTTAATTTATGGCATAAAGAGACTATCAAGCATAACCAAAGATATACAAACAGCAGAAGATAAACTAGATGACTGGGACCTTCAAAAATTAAATTCTATGTGCATCAAAAGACTTGTCCAAAAGAATAAAAAGAGAACCTATAGAATGGGAAAAAATATTCAACAATGACATATTGGACAAAGGACTTATCTCTAAAATTCACAGAAAATTCCTACACCTCAACACCAAAAAGACAAAAAATCCAATTAAAAAATGGGCAGAAGACATGAACAGACAGTTCACCACAGAAGATACTCAGGCAGCCAACAAACACATGAAGAAAGCTCATGATCACTAGCCCTTAGAGAGATGCAAATAAAAAAAAAAAAAGAGAGAGAGAGAGAGAGAGACCATCTCACCTCAGCATTAATATAAAAGTCCAACAAGACAGAAAATAACAAATGCTGGCAAGGATGTGAGGAGATTGGGACTCCCATACACTCCTGGTGGGAATTTAAAATGATACAACCACTGTGGAAATCAGTATAGCCATTCTTTAAAAAGCTGGAAATAGAAATACCATTTGATCCAGCAACTAGGTGTATATCCCAAAGAAGTGAGAGATAGGACACAAACAGATATATGAACACTCATGTCCATCACACCACTTTTCACAATGGCAAAGGGATAGAAACAACCTAAGTGCCCATCAACTGAGGAATGGATAAACAATCTGTGGTACATGCACACAATGGAATATACTCTGTAACCCTAATGTATGGAGCTCTGGTGGCATGGTGCCTAAGGCATGTGACTGTTAACCAGAAGGCTGGCAGTTCAAACCCCCCAGCTACTCCTCAGAAGGAAGGTTGGGCAATCTACTTCCACAGTGACACCACCTCAGAAACCCAAGGAGGGGTCACTATGAGTCAGGTCCGACTCAACCGCAGTGAGTTTGGTTTTGGTTTACATATGTGTGTGTGTGTGTGTGTGTGTATACACACTTATATGTATACATATATGTATAGATACAAACCAAAGATTATTAGTGGTTACCAGGGGCAGGAGGGAGGAAGAAAGGGGAAGCTTTTGTTTACAGGGCATTGAGTTTCTGCTAATGGTGGTAAAATATTTCAGAAAAGGTTAGCAACAATGGCGGCACAACATGAAAAATGTCATCAATGTCTTTGAGCTGTAAATGTGCAAGTGTTAGTCTGATTGTATATGGTTTTCACCATAATGAAAGTTAAAAAAAAAAACAACCCATTAGGGAGCACAATTGTACTCTGACACACAGGGGGTGACTATCAGTCAAAAGAGACTCTGCAGAAAATGGTTTCCAATCACATCAAAGGAGTAAAATAAGGGACTGGGACCCATTCTCCTACTTGTTCCCATCTATTAACCAGGATCTTAATGGAAGGCCATTTGTTTTTCAAAGACCAAAGAATGCTCCAGACATCCAACTACTTGATAGGTACCTTGCAGTACTTTCATTTAGCATCACCAGACATATGCCCTGGCTGGCATAAACGGTTTGTGCATTACTACTAACCAAGCGTTGAGAGTTCAAACTCACCAGAGGAACAACAGAACAAAGTCCTGAGCCAGGAAGCCCTATGGGGCAATTCTCCTGTGCAACACATGGGGTTGCCAAAAGTCAGAATGGACTAGACATCAATGGGTATTGGGTGTTAGACATATGTCAGATTTGTTTTTCAATTTGCTCTACTGGATAATTGGTAAGAGCCACTTTTCATATCTTAGCAACTGTTACCCGGGCTCTGGTAGCATAGTGCCTAAGGCACTTGATTGCTAACCAGAAGGCTGGCGGTTCAAACCCACCAGCCACTCCTAGGAATGAAGGTTGGGCAATCTACTACCATAGTGATACTGCCTTGGAAACCCACGGAGGGGTCACTATGAGTCAAGTCCTACTCAACATCACATAACAACAACAGCAGCAACTGTTACAAGAGGAGGAATCCTGTGCTTTTTCATAAACAGAAGATCAACATCCTATCAGGCTTCAGGGTAAACTACGGAGGTCAGTGATGTTCCACATAGAAAGTTCTAAGTTTAAAAAACAAAAGTCCTATTCATTAACATTCTTTCTTTTTCTATTCAGACTCTAATGACAATCTAGGATTTTTCTGAGCCTCCATCCTCTTGCAGAAGCAGCCAGACAGTTCAAGATGTAAGCATCTGCCTTCTACATTCCCAAAATAGATTTTTTCCCCAAGAGAGTGATCAATCAAAATGTCCTTGGGGGGAAAAAACGTCTTCAAGATCTAACCCAGACTTTGCTTCTGTTGGATTTTATTTCTGAAGAGAGCTGCTAGGACACAGAAATACAATATACAGTATAGGTTAGCACTAAAATTAGAGAAGTGTTCTATGACATAGCTCATGGCATACACCCAACTAAATTCCAGAGAGATTAAAGTTTCTTTTAAATGATGTTCTATAAAAACTTCCTTAGTTTTGTTTTTATCAAACCATAGGAAAAACTGGAACTAAATAGAATTGAATGTTGATCAACTCTCTGGAAGTCTGGACTTTCTAGATATAGAAACAGGCAAACCCCAGCAAGGTCAATCTGAGATATGTCACAAGATTGCAGTACATGCAGATTCAAATAAGCAGCAAGCCAAGAGGCTGGGGTCATTCACTCTGGTTCTAGCATCATCAGAGAAAACTGGCTGAAGAAATGACCAAAGAACAGACCACTGGAGAACACCAGCACACTGAAAATACAGCTATGTTCTAGAAAGGGAACTGGTGGTGAATATTTTTCTAGAATATAAATCACAGTGTAACACTTTTAAACATTTAGTTCTTTATAAACTAGAAATTCTTTTGAGGTGGCCAAGACTTCCACATTTAAGAGTACAGAAGTATAGGAAGAGGTCACTTCTGAAAGAGACAGATCCTTGTAGGTCTAATACATAGTTGGAAATGCAGAAGAGATAGCCAAAGGAACCCCTGGTGGCACAACAGGTAAATGCTTGGCTGCTAACCAAGAAGTTGATGGTTTGAACCCACCCAATGGCTCTGCAGGAAAAAAAAAAAAAAATCTGTTCCTGGAAAGATCACAGCCTGGTAGACCCTACAGAGCCATTCTATTCCGTGACATGGAGTTGCTACGAGCCAAAATCAACTCAACAGCACTAAACACTCAATACAGCAGTAGGTGAAATGTAAGATCCCCCTATGGCCAAAGAGGTAGCCAAGAATAAGAATTTATATTTCTATTTTTCCTCAAATCCTGCTCCTTCAAAAAATATAAATGTACATTTCAGTAACAGATACTAAAAAGGAAAGGTGATAGTCTTCCAACAGGTTTGCTTTGAAGTGTCCACAAATGCAACATCGAAAACCTGAAGGGCAAGAGCTGAGTTAGTTCTCTAAATTCAACAGAGACCTTCCTCTGACCTTAACTTGGTTGTATCTCGTACGCAGAAGTAGTAACTGCAGACGGATCTTTTCCTTCGTACTATCCTCCATAGGCTGATGTAACACTTGTTCCCCTCTTTGAAGAACTTCCTCAATCTGCACTCTCTCCTCATCCATCTAAACGTTGAAAAGGAAAAAATTTACTCAGAAGAAAAATGTACAGGGTCACTCACTATCAGTCAGTTCTCATGTAGGACTAGCTCAGAAAGTACACTGTAAGTCAAGATATGCCCCTCTATACAATACACAACCAAAAAAATTATGGTTTTCTTAAAATATTTTGTATTTTAAGTTAACCCCAAAGAAGGTAAATTCAGCAGAAGTTAGATGATACGAATGTTTAGCTCAGTGAGGAAGCATGGTTATTTTATACTTTTAAGCACCACATTAATCACTTGGCAAATCTCACATTGACACTCACCAGAAACTCACATTTGGATCTGTTCTGTCATCTTTGGTAGATTATTTGAGTAAACATTATTGATGCAAAGCAATCATTAACAGAAATGAAAAATGAGAACACCATGAAAATCTCCTTGAACCAACCTTTTCATCTTCATCTCTGGATTCCAAGTGTTTCTCCACAATATTTAACATATTTCGGATGTCATTTTCTAATCTGTCCAAGTATGATAATGGTTCTTGGCCAATTAGCAACTGTAGAAAGAAAACATTTCCCTTGAAAGATATTCTTAACCTGATGTTCCATCACAGCCAGAGGGTCAGGTATCAAGAGAGGAACTGGCATTTATGTGGACTTCATTTCATCTCATGTATTTATATAGCAATGATTTTACCAATTTAAGTGTCTTTAAATTACTCATTTTCTCCAAACTCTAGCCCGGGTTATGAATGGTGCTCAACTGATTGTGGCTGCCTGGAATGCCACGTGGAAGATTCCGAGACCACATGCGAGCACAGTAGAAAACAAGACCACCACCCAAAAGCCAACCCTGCCACAAAGATGAAGACCAACCACCACCAGCACGCTGCAGAATGTCTCCCTACTTAACTCGTCACAGAAGAAGGTCTCTTGGATCTTGAAACTCAGACTTCATAAACCAAAAACCAAACGTGTGGCTGTCAAGTAAACGCCAGCTCATAGCGACCCAATGTGTTATGGAGGAAAAGTGCTCCATAGGGCTTTTTTGCCTATAATCTTTACAGAAGCAAATTGCCAGGACTTTCTTACATGACACCGCTGGGTGGGTTCAAACCGCATCCTTTAGGTTAGCAGTTCAGGGCAAACCACTCGTGCCACCTACCAAACTTCATAGAAATATTTACTTCTCAGTGTAATACTGTCCCATTAATGTGTACATAGAAAACCTTTACATTAATGTGGCTCAAACGCAATACAACAATTTTCCACTGTTGATTGACTATAGGGAAACTAGCATTCTCACACCTTTATTATGGAAGTATACACTGGCACCAACTTTCTATAGGGCTATTTGGTGGAGGTCTGGTGGTGTAGTACCTAAGGCACTTGACTGCTAACCAGAAGGCTGGCGGTTCAAACCCACCAGCCACTCCCCAGAAGGCTGGACAATCTACTTCTGTAGTGATGCTACCTCAGAAATTCAAGCAGGTCCCACTCAACAGCACATAACAACAACAACCACAACATTTGGAGAATCTATTTAACAGCCTTGATATGCACACTTCTTGCAACAATTTCAAAGAATTCTAACATGCCAATGGCATATTAAGAGATAGAATAAAGATATGGATAAAAAGATTTTAATGAAGCAATACTTAGCACAATAAACATGGAATACTGGCTTAGGAAATTTTAACAAGTCACATGACAGAATGTTCTATAACCATTAAGGAACCATGTCATAGGAGAAAATATAAAAATGTAGAAATATTCTTATCTTTAACATCACATAGAAATAAATAAGAAACATATACTCGAAAATGTTGGTAGAGATTAATTACGGAGATGATGGTCATTTTGTTTCTCTGTACTTCCTCTCACATCACACCTGGGACTTGCATATTATTTATTTATACCAAGGAAAACCTTCCATAATTTACTGAAATACATAAAATGAGGTTAGGTAAAGAGGTAAGGTCAAGGCTAAAGAAGACAAAGGTTAAAGTAAGAGTTTTGCCTGTTTTTTCAGGCTATGAATAATCTAAGAGTCACTGGCTAAAAAAGAGAGGCCTACTTTATCAGGCCTTAAACTACAGCAAGGTGAGACAATATTTACCAGCCAGAAAAAAAAGGATCCTTCCTGTTACAATTAATTTTAATGCATAACTCTCCAGACTAACTGAATAACTCACACAATGCTATCCTATGGGCACAGATGAGATTCTTAAAAACTCAGAATCCTGTGTGAGAACAAATGCTTAAATGACTCTCAGTAAACCAGCAAAAAGCTGTCATCTTTTCAACATGTACTGAGCATGTACTACATGCCTGGCCTTGAGAACACTACAAAAAATATCTTGTTTTTCTCCCCTTACCAAACAAGGGTAAGAAGAGAAAGAGAGAGAAGTATACATACACACACTCAGAGAAAACTAATAATAGAATAGCACAAATGGCACTTTTTTTCATTTTTTAGAAACACTCTTATTATCCTCTTATTTAAATTCATAAAGCTCTTTTTAAAATTTATAAAACCAAACAGGCCTTTTCTCCATCAGGTCTAAACTGAGACATTAATTGTAACTTTTAAATTTGTCAACACAAAAAACACAGTAAGACCAGGTTTACTATATATGTGACATGAACACAATATAAAATATGACTATAAAAAGATAAGACTGATAATCATGCTCAGGTTGAGAATTAGTGTCATTATTCCATAGTCAACTTTAGCATCCAATTGAGTCTTTAAAAACTTTTCTCAAATGGGTTATTATCTCCAACACAAATTTCTAGTTTTTACTCTTTGATATGCACAATCACAAATAAACAAGAACAAATACTCCATTCAAAGAAAACGTGGTGGGAGCATAATTTTAATTTTAGGAATTTGGAAGTATGTACGGTATCATCAAAGGAGCTCTGGTGGCAAAGTGGCTAAGGCATTTGACTGCTAACCAAAAAGTTGGCAGTTCAAACCCACTAGCCACTCTGCATTAGGAACATGGGGAAATCTACTTCCACAAAGATTTACCACCTCGAAAAACCAATGGGGTTGCTCTAAATCAGAATCAACTTGATGGCAGTGGCTTTGGTTTGATTATATCATCATGTATCATTTCAATATGTATACATAGGAAAATGGTTTTCTATAAAAATAAAATTACTCACTTTGGCACTTCTGATATGTTGGGACACTTTTTCAAAGTTTCTATTCAGCTCAGCTAATTTTGGTTCTACAAGCTCTCTCCTCGAGCCTCCACGCGCACTCATCAAAACAATGGCTTGCTCACGGACATTTTCAACTTGGAGATTAGCATCATCCAGCTCAGATAATAACCTCTAGTTTTAAGAAAATACAGTATTATGACATAGGAAAAATCTAAGGCAAACATGGATATGGTGCTTTAAACAATGTCTGGGATTCCTAGTGAAGAGATTTCAGTACATACAACTTGAGTAACAACTGTTCATAGAAGGAGCAAGATAGACCTTGGGTTTGCCCACCAACATAAACTCTAGTCAATGTGCTGTGTGCGAAGACTGTGTCCTTGAGTAACTCTGAGAATCCACAAGACCAAAGACTGCAGCAACACGTTCCCCTCCCAGCAGCATAACTGACTGCTCCATGTGTGCTACCTTCACAATCTCTTCCCGTTTACTTGCTGGTTTGTTTTCAATCTCATCCAACAGAGCTTCAGCTTGATAAAGCCAGGTACTTATGTGAGCAACATTTCCATCAAATACTTCCAGCTGGTTCTGATGGTTCTACAAAGTAATTAATAAAACGTTGATATAATCACATGAAGTATTTAAGACTATAACCTTAGAAGACACTGACAAGGACTTCACAGAGCAAAACTGTATGTTGCAATAAAGAAGGGTTTCTACCTTCTTGCAAACCTATTATAATAAATAATAGGTTTATTATTTTAGAAGGAGCTCTGGTAACATAGTGCCTAAGGCACTTGACTACTAACCAGAAGGCTGGCAGTTCAAACCCACCAGCCACTCCTCGGAAGGAAGATGGGGCAATCTACTTCCGTAGTGATACTGCCTTGGAAACCCAAGGAGGAGTCGCTATGAGTCAGATCTGACTCGACGGCATATAACGACAACAACAACATTCTTTTAGGAATACTTCTCATTCCTAAAAATGCTAAAATTAACTATTTTTTAAATGTATTTGATTTAGACCTCAGTACAAAAAAGTAGTTGGAGAGTAATGAAAGAGGCAAGGCTCTGTTCAATGCTATTTCAAGCTTGTCTTCCTTATTGCTTGTTCTGTATTTCAAATGATCTCATTTACCCCCCTTTTATCACATTTGTAAAACAATTCAAGTAAGGAAGTAATAATATAAAAAGAACAATTAAAATAAGCTTTGAAATATATTTAAAATATATTTTAAGAATCCTTAAAAGTCAATAAAAAATAAAACATACAACCCAGTTAGAAAATGGGCAAAAGATCTTAATAGATACCTCACCAAAGAAGATATACAGATGGCAACTAAGCTTTAAAAAGATGCTCAATACCATATGCTGTTGTTGCCATGTGCTGCTGTGTTGATTCCAACTCAAGCAATCCAGTAGGACAGACAGAACTGCTCCTATGAGTTGTCCTAGGCTGTACTCTTTATGAAACCAGATTGCCACATCCTTCTCCCACAGAGCAGTTGGTGGATTCGAACCACCAACCTTTTGCTAATAGCCAAGCACTAAACCACTGTGCCACCAGAGTTCCATCATGTATCATTCTCACTCTCTCTGCCATCACAATTCTGACACATAGCAACCCCCACTGGTTTTCCAAGGCTGTAAATCTTTACGGAAGCAGACTGCCTCATCTTTCCTCCATGGAGCAGCTGTTGGGTTCACCCAAATGCCTTAACAACTACACTACCAGAGCTTTCACAGATCATTAGGGAATTGAAATTAAAATAGCAATAAATTACATACCTATTAGAATGGCTAAAATTCAAAACATTGACAGTATCAAAAGCCGACAAGGATATGGAGCAACAGAAATTATTAAAATATCTATTTCTATGTATATCGTGAATATTCTATTCTTTAATAAAGTTATTGTGAGCTCTTTCTAATTAGAATCTTTTCAAAGGAAAAACAAAATGTAATCTAATGAAATTAATTCACAAGGAAGCAATTATTCTGACACACAGAAAATAGGGTTTGTCGTTCTGATCAAAGCCATGATTCCTTTAACAAATAAAAGGCGAGAAGAAGTCTCAATCGTTAAATTTTTCATGAAGCATACCATGAAGGTACTGCACCAATCCTCAGTCCAGGTGCGAACTCGGCTCCACCCGGCATTAAGGACACAGAGTCTCTCTTCTAAAATAGTCTCACTGCCCTCTAGCAAGCTCTGGAGGACAGCACTACTCTCTGTGATGTTATTTAAGTCTGCTTTTTTCTTTTCCAGATCCTTCAGGACATTCTAGAAAATAAAAATACAGAATCCCATTTGATCTTTCAGAACATTATTTTCTTAAAAAAAAAAAAATTTAAACAATTTTAATTTTTTTTAAATGTTCCTTTCACATAATAAACATAACAATCTATGACTCCCAAGGTAACTTACAATATGTCAAACACATTGCCATCAAGTCAACCCCAAATCCCAGCAACCCTGTGGGACAGAGTAGAACTGTTCCACAAGGTTTCCAAGCCTATAGTCTTTGGAGGCGCAGACTGCCACACGTTTCTCCCACGGAGCGACCACTCCATTAGCTACACGGTGTTTTCCCACTACACCACTAGGGTTTCTTACAATATGTCAAGAGTTTACACAGCTCCAGAACTTATTAATATGGTAAGATTCTTATATTCTTAATGAAAACTGAAATCTTGAAGTATACAAATACCAAAGAACATAACAAACTCAAATGTAGAAAATGTAATTATTTCTACCATTTTAAGTATAAATTCTATTTATACTTAAATATAAATTCTACTTATACTCTATTTATACACACATCCCAATTATCTTTATCTTAACAACCAGACATAAAGAATTCATTTCATTTTCAGTTAAGTACAAGCTGGCCAAGTAGAAACATCACAGAACTCAGAATTCTAAAAAATTTCATGATGAATTTATCCCCCACCATACACCCATGACTCCCAATCTTCTTCATTTCTTTCATCTAGCCCTTTCTCCACCTCGGCTTCACTTCACACAGCTCATGGCATAGTCATACTCTTCATGAGTTATTTTCAAAAGTGAGAATATTCTCTCCAGCATCTAATATCTTGGTTTTCTGTCCTCATGTGTAATCTCCACAGAGACTTCTGTGAAGGAGCTGTATCACCACACCACCTCCTAGACCTTGTCTTCACTGACCATAAGCAAGCAAAATGTCAAATATGATACCTGTGGCTTTGCACTGAATTCTATTTCCATATTAATAATTTCTTTTCAGCAGTATCTTTAGTATACATGCTTCTTTCTTAGGAAATAAATTTAGGAAAACAGAATGCCTCAATAAAAGGACAACTTTTTGTTCCATTAAATTCTTTACCTACCTCAAAAGAAAACTGTCAAATCCTCTCTTCAGATACAAATTCAAAAGGAGAGGTCGCTATGAGTCAGATCCAACTCAATGGCAGTTAAGTTTGGTTTTTGGTTTTTATAGGCAAAACTACTACTCGCCTGTCACCTGTCATACTATGGTGGCTTGAGTGTTGCTGTGGTAAAGGAAGCTATGCCACTGGGCACTTCAATTCCCAGCAGGGTCATCCATAGTGGACCAGTTTCAGCTGAGCTCCCAGACCAAGAATGGGAAGGACTTGGTGACCTACTGCTGAAACAAATGGCAAGTGGGAACCTTATACACTGCAGCAGAATCTTGTCTGACACAGTGCCAGAAGGTGAGCCCTCAGGTTGGAAGGAACACAAAATACAACTGGGGAAGCGTTGCCTCCTGAAAGTAAGGAAAATTAAAAACCAAACTCACTGCCATTGCATCAATTCTAACTCACAACGACCCATTAGGACAGAGTAAAACTGCCCAATAAAGTTTCCAAAGCTGTAAATCTTTAGAGAACAAATTGCTTCATCTTCCTCCCACAGAGCAGCTGGTGGGTTTGAACCAATGACCTTTTGGGTTAGCAGTCAAATGCTTTATCTAGTACTTCCCAGAACTCCGCCTCAAAGCAGAGTGAACCTTAATGATACAGATGGAGTAAAGCTTTGGGACCCCCATTTGTTGATGTGGCATGACTGAAAATGAGAAGAAACAGCTGCAAACACCCATTTAGTAAACAGAATATGGAATGCATGAAGTACCAATTTAGGAAAATCGTAAGTTGTCAAACATCCAATGGAATGCTTTAAGATCAATATCCCATGGATTAGTGAGCTGTAATGATATTGGCCATTTTGAACTGGACAATAATATAGATGTAGAGAATGACAAATTGAAGACAAACAGTGTCACATTCATTGTCAAAAAGAATATTTCAAGGTCTATCCTGAAGAGTTATGCCATCAGTGATAATATCCATACGCCTATAAGGAAGACCAGTTAAAATGATTATTCTACTGCCATGAAGTCAACTCTGACTCATAGTGACTCCCTTAGGGTGCCCAAGGCTATAAATCTCTATGGAAGTAGATTGACTCATCTTCCTCCCATGGAGCAGCTGGTAGGTGTGAACCACCTACCTTCTGGTTAACAGCCAAATGACTTATTCACTACACCACGAGAGCTCCTTCTAATAAACCAAAAACGAAACTCACTGCCATCGAGTTGGATCCAACTCACAGTGAACCTTTCTTGTGTTTCCGAGACAGTATCACTACAGAAGTAGATTGCCAAACCTTCCTTCCAAGGAGTGGCCGGTGGGTTTGAATCCACCAGTCTTCTGGTTAACAGTCAACTGCCTTAGGCACTCTGCCACCAGAGCTCTAATAAACCTACCGAAGTAATGGAAAAACAAAAGGCTACTTTTAATAGGAAATGGAGGAAAATGACAGCCACTCAGATTACCCTCAACAAATGCCACAGGTTAACACCAGCATAATGCTGGTGGTTCATCAGAACTACAACTTACTTTAGCCCAGGAAATTTCTGTATCCAAGTCGCAAAGCAAACCTTCTGAAGTGGATTTCTGTACCAACTCAGCCTCAGTGACAGAAAGCCATTCAGAGAGAGAAGCAGCCTCTTTCTTCACTTTCCGGGCCAACTGTGATGCTTTTTCCAGGTTCTGTTTTCCTTCCGTCACCTGAAAAGAGAGAGAGAATGACGGGTGGGGCATGAATGGGAATAAATCAGAATATTAACTAGAGACTTAAATTGATCCATAGTCAACCTCCAATACATACATAATAAAAGAGCTCTGGTGCTACAATAGTTAAGCACAAAAAGTCCTTGGTTTGACTCCACGCTGTGACTCCACAGCATAAAGACTTGGCCACCTGCTCCCATAAAGGTGACAGCCAATTCAACCCCATGGGGCAATGCACTCTGTCACATGGGTTTGCTATGAGTCAAAAACAACTCAGTGGCACCCAACAACAACAGACACAATAACATTTATCTCTGTTGCTGTTGTTGTTGTTATGTGCCGTCAGTTGCCCCGACTCATAGCGACCCCTCCTTGGGTTTCCGAGGCAGTATCACTACGGAAGTAGGAATGCCCAACCTTCCTTCCGAGGAGTGGCTGGTGGGTTTGAACCGCCAGCCGAACATTTATCTCTAGCACCTTAAAATTACTCTAACTCTTGCATTTTTGCAATATGTTGTAGTAGTTAAATGTCAGGCAGTACTAGGTTTTAATCTTAGCACTATCACTTACTTCTCTAAGTGACCTCAGTAAAGGTATTTCCCTTCAAGGTTTGTTGTGAGTATTAATAAGAAAAATATACATATGAATGTATTGGCCCAGTCCTTCAAACAAAGCTAAAAACCAAAAAACAAACCCACTCCCACTGAATCACTATGACTCACAGCAACAGAGTACTATTGTCCCATGGGGTTTTGAAGGTTGTAAATCTTTACAGAAGCAGACTGTCTCATCTTTCTCCTGCTGAGTGCGTGGTGGGTTCGAATTGCCTGTCTCTTGGCTAGCAGCCCAATGCTTTAACCACTGTACTACCAGATATATCCTAAAACACAGTTAAGGGATCAGTAAATACTACCTGTTATTATTTTGAACAGAAGATTCTTCATAATCCAATCAATGAAGAACTCGTTAAGGTGTGTACCCACACACTATTTTCCAGCCATCTCAGACAGAAGCAGTATTATTTTCACAAACATGTCTTATAATTAGCTACTCAGAATACACTAAGTGATATGAAACATAAACCTCTATTATTTTGCTCTTATTGCTGTCGACAAAAGAGAAAAATGAATCAAACTAATCCTTATCAAACTTTCATTCTTTATAATCTTTTATTTAAATGTACTAGATGAATTTTATCATCAGAAATTGTTAAAAAGAATGAAGAAGCAGAAAGAGGAATAGTTAACAACTAAAAATCTTCGTGTTTCCCTAACATAGAGCATTGTTGCTTGCTTCCACTGAGCCAGCCTCTGGCGCATAGTGATCCCATGTCCAATGGAACAAAACGCTGCCCAGTCATGCAGCATCCCCATGATGGGCTGTGGATCAGACTGTCACAAGCCACAAGATTTTCACTGGCTGATTTCTTGCAAGTAGATCACCAGGCCTTTCTTCCTCTTTTTCAAATTCTTAATACAGTTTCTTTATAATGCCAAGAAATCTTACAAATGTAATAAAACTCATATATCTCTGTGACAGGTACTATTCTGTCTACTTCACGGATCAACACAGTGAAGCCTAGAGGTTAAGGCCATGGCTGAGCATGGCTGGCAGGACGCTTCCCATCACACGACAGTATCTCTCAACCTACCAACAACCATTCTCAACGTAAAGCTGACATGCATTTTAAAAGCTATCACAAACAACAACTATGGAAAATGGCATGGCACTTCCCCAAAAAGCTAGGAACAAATACCACATGGTCCAGCAATACCACTTCTAGGTTTATATCCTAAAGAGATAAGAGCATTGACATGAATAGATATATGCATACCTGTGTTCACTGCAGCATTATTCAGAGTAGAAAAAGATGGAAGCAACTTAGGTGCTCATCAGTGTACGGATCTATAAACATATTGTGGTGCAAAAATACAATGGAATACTATGCAATGATAAAGAATGATGATAATTCTAGGAAATATATATAGAACATTATGCTGAATGAAATAAGTCAATCACAAAAGAACAAGTATTTTATGACATCACTTTTATAAAAAGTCAACAGGTGGGAGGCGGGGCAAGATGGCGGACTAGGCAGAAGGATTGCACAGACACTCTTCAACAAAGAAAAGGGAAACCAATTAACACAGACACAGAAG